AAAGCAGTATCTGCCAATACGATCACCAATACTTTATCATGTAGAATTATTTATAGTGATGATCCAATCAAGATTTTTAGACATTTATTCAGGGCCTGAATTTCATTTTTGAAAATGAATTTCCCTCTTAGGTGACTTGTGATTTTTTTAGACATTTTTTCAAAAATATATATTTATCTCCTAAATGTTTGATTATGCACTGCATTTTTGTTTTGACAATCATGCAATTGTTGCACAATAGCTTACACACAGCACAAGCCTGATTTCGTGAGCTGTATGTGAGGCAGTGTTACACCAGGTTCACACTCCGTTTGCAGTGCGTATGCAGTCCATGTGCGGTACATGGTGCAGAAGCAGCTTTCCCACAGGCGTCTGCAACTGATCCGTGGCTGTTTACCACAAATTATTTTGATTTTAAATCCAAACATTGTTACTGAAAATGCTTTTTCAGCATTGTGATTCTTTTTATACACAGTACAGTAATACAATCTTTCATAGACGTGTTTAAACGCAATAAATATAAGAAACACATTATTCAATGCTTTTTACTTTTGCATTTACTTCTAGATTTAGGCTATATATTAAGTTGCTCAAGCAAGTGGCAAAACATTTAAACTACTTTTATTACATTATCACAAACATTCTAAATTAAAACTTACGATTGACAGAAACAGTCAGCTCTACTGCCTTTTCTTTTGCATTTAATTCTTTATTACAAGCAATTCCGCGGTTCATAAAGAACTTTGTTTTCCTACCTCCAGGAGTGCCATCTATAATTGCCTTGTTCAACCTTCTACATTGCGAGTAAATCACTCGCATATGCAACTAAATCTTCACTCTGGGCGACTAAATGATGTATAATATTTTTCTAAAAGTGCTCTTTTCCTTTAAACCTAGCCAAAACGCCATAGCCTATGTGTTGACTGTGAAACACAATAGACTTTGATTATATGCATTTATGGTGTAATTACTACATTTTCGTGTCAATCCATGTTCATATCATATTTACCGCAAACAATGTGCTGTCACTTTAATTCAGCGCGTGCAGCGGAAACTATCTCCGTTTAGATTTCAGCAAATCAGTTCGAGCAAACGCACACGACCTGATTAATATTCATGAATCCAGAAGCTCGTTAATCATTGGTGCGCTTTATATTGTTCTTATTAGTAGAATTCGTATAATAATGAAAAATACGTAACCACATACGCACTGCAAACGGAGTAATGTGAACCTTGCATTATGTGTGTGTGCGCGAGTGTGCTTGAGCGCACGGTCTCCAGGAGAGCGCGCGAGCGCTGAATGGTTTAAACACTTGCAAGAATTAAAAAGAAATGCAATTTATAAACTTTAGTGACGATGCGACACTGCCTCGATTGTACAAGTGACAATTCCTTTGTCAACTGTGCTGCGTGCAGCTCGCTTAGTGCAGACGCGATGTGATTTGAAGCCATTTGCGCATTTTGAGAGTGAGAGAGCGCGCGGTGATTTACTCACCCCTTCCATTTGCGCATTTTGAGAGTGAGAGAGCGCGCGGTGATTCACTCACGCTGTTTGTGAAATTATGTCTCACAGAAAGTTTTCAAATGACTTTATAAGTTAATCAAGAAATATGAATTGTACCTCACCTTCAGCATTATAATTATTTAACCCGCGCCAGACTGAGACGGTGCCGCTGCATGTCATGCCACACCTCTGACGGCAGGCGCGTCATCAGCTTGAGATCGGTTTGTGAGATCGGCCTTTTTAGAGACAGCCGATCAATCATCCCAAAGCGATTATTGGCCGATAGTGATCGGTAGCCGATCAATCGGAGCACCCCTACATATAAGCAAGTCCATACTGGCAGTATCATTCAATGATTGTTGCCATCTACAGATTAGGCCAATACAGACAAATCCTTGGGGAGAAACAGTGTCATTCTGACAGAGTTTTGTTTGTGGGATGTTTCAGCAGAAAAATAACCCATAGGACATAGGAAATACCTTGAGGGACATAACAAGAAGGTTTTATTCTGGAATGGCCAAACCAGAGCCTAGACTAGAATGCTAATGAAAAGCTTGTTGTCAGTATGACCGGGCCCAGACAGACTATTTTCACATTTTCTCCACTGACTTTGAAAGAAGGTATCTCTGGAATTCTGCTGAACGGAATTTAAACCAGGTAAATGTGTAAAATAGATCTGAAAGCATAATCAAATTGACCAAAATATAACTTGCAAAGGGACGTGTTACATTTTGAGAATGACAAGCATTCCAATTCCACATGCATAAAAAATGGACAAAATTCCTAAAAGCACAAGTCTCAAACTAAAAAAAAAATGAATAATTCAAAAATCATTTATCTTGTTTAATGGATTAAAAAATGTATAGGCGTTTGACCAAATTTAGAGGAGCTATAACAGGAACGAACTGTGATGCACTGTAGACTTTGTATGCACTACAGACATGTTTCCATGATGTCATAGCTTAAATTAAAATTTCATGCCATAAATTCAAATATATATTTGGCACCAAAACATTACAAACTATGTCACAGCTGAAGCCTGTGGCGTTCACCAATGTGGGACAAAGGTCGTCTGGTTGAAAACACAACCAGCCATGCGAAATCAGAGACCACCAGGATCTAAAGTAGGGGAAAGGGCACATCACAAGTTTGCATGCCATATCATAACCAAAGCCAATGTTAGGAATGTAGTAGTCACTGAAACCACTGGAAAAGCCAGAAGGTCATTCCATGACATGAGCACCTACACAGTATTCATTACAAATATAATACTGATGTTTCTACAAATATCATATTTTCAATAATCAGTTAATTACTGTACAAAATCAGGGAAACGGAGATCATCAAGCGTTAGAAAATAAGAAACATTTATGATGGTAAACAGGGCTGACACTAGGGATGCAACCAGTGCTTAATTTGTAAATGAATAATTGCCGGTGTTGTGCCGAATTCGGCACCCCTGCCAGATTATGCACCCCCCTCGTTGAAGTCACTACCTGATTGCCTAATCCCAACCCCACCCCTAATCTTAACCCCTCCCCCACACCTACTCCTAAACCTACCAATACTAGGGGATGCATAATCTGGCAGGGTGCAAATTTCGGCACTACACCGGATCCAAAACAGCAAAAGGCGCTGTGACTGACACTGACAATACAACTTCAGTTTTCCTGGAATGTTCAATGACGTCACTAAATGGTGATGCCACAATTATAGCATCGTTCACAATTTCTGCAGGATTTCAAACCCTGGGTCAAAAATGGGTCGCCAGGATGATTTAAGGAAAATGTATATCTAAGATACATTAAAAATAACAAAATTTGTTTTCATAAAAATAAAATTCAATCACAGTATATATATAAAAGGTATGGCTTAAAATGCGAAAAATATCTGATTTAAATAATTAACCATTTTAAAATGGATGCGAGGCGTGGCGCTCCACAAAAATGCGCATCCTTGCTTTATTTTACAAAAGCACAAATGTTCTGTTGTTATTTTGAGTGTGCAAAAATAAAAGTAAACACTTTGCGCTTTCGAATTATGTCTTACTCTTATCTGTATGACCAAAAATTTTATATTTTATGTTTCAGCTGTTTGATCGTGCCGCACGCTCACACACATCACATATTCACAATTCAAACTTGAGATCGCAGTCTGTTCATTATCAAAATAAAATAGTCAACCAAAAATATAAAGGTTACACTGGTCAATTTAATAGTCCATGGTATAACTGGTCCTGTTATGCCAAGCACATTTTTGCTTATGTAAAGAGAATATTTCTGTCGAATGCACGTGAAGTACAAAGCAGTTTAACATTCAAATACATTGCGAATATGGTAACGGATTTGTGCCGAATGACGTCCAAACGTGAGCCCAACGCCTGGTATTTTCAGTTTCGCTTTGTTTTGGTTTCTTTAGCTTTATATATTTTTATTTCATTCTTGTTCTGTTCTGAATACCGTTACCTTTAATTGATTTGTTTTGGAGTGAGCTATACTAAAGTGTAGCTATGTTCATAGTGTTTATAATGTTTATACATTATAATATTTCAGTTTATTTGGTATTATTTCTGGTATTATTACACTCTCTCCAAATGTTCTGCTGCTCACAAAACAATAAGCAGTAAGCACCAATCAATGAGCGCGAGTTTGAATTTAAGAAAGCTGATTGGTCATGGTCCAAAATATGTTGAGGACCAAAAGGCTACATAACCTCCAAATACATCTACATAAACCTGCGCTCGCTCTCATATGCACGCACGCACTGTCACAATCTAATGCCGGATCCTTAAAAACAATTACCAGAACGCAAAACCCAAAATCTGAAATTTTCCGGAACAGGATCCGGTAGGATGCGGCTCAAATTAAGCACTGGATGCAACTCTTTTTAATATGCTCACTAAAATCCAAAAATTTGTTTAATTTATTATCTTTTATTTGTATGTTTAACCATAATTCCACAGAATTCCACCACAGAATGATAATTAAGGTAAATGCAACTTTTTTTTATCTCGCAATTCCGACTTTTTCTTCCAATTCTGATAAAAAAGCCATAATATATATAAACATAATTGCAAGATATAAAGTCAAAATGTGACTTTTTTTCTGAGTTTTATGATTTTGCATCTTGCAATTTAGTTTTTTTGTCTGCCACAGAATAAAAATAAAAGAGCAATTGCAATTTATCTTACAATTTTGACTTTTCCTTGCAATTGCGAGTTTATATCTCACAATTTAGACGTTTCCTCTCAGAACTGTGATTTCATATCTTGCAATTCTGAGTTTAGTAATAAATAAATAAACAAATAAAAAGCCTGAATTGTGGGATATTAAAGCAAAAGTTGGAAACAGGTCTGGTGAATAGATAGATAGATAGAATTTATGTTCATGTGGGACACAAAAGCCACTTTTTTTTTTTGAATGACAGTCAAAACTAATAGCTACATTTGCTATCTCTACATATCATAAACAGTAGCAATAAAATAATGGGTATTTACCCTCATATGTGGGCTGTCGCTAATTTTTGAGAACGCGAACTCGATGAGATCTGCCCTGAGGTCCACCAGAAACTTCACCCCGCCCTGAACCTTGCTGATGTGCGTGAGCAGCTGTCGGTACCGGGGTGTTAAACTGTACCGTAACCTGTCCTCCACCTGCAGGATGGTGGCCACATCCCGCCCCTGAGTGTCCAGCAACTTCGCAGCCAGGTCCGAAGCCCATCTGTGATCTACCCCGAAATCATGAGAAAGCTTCTCGAGAAAGTCCAGCTTTTGCTCTTTCTCTAAACTCTTGTAGAAGTGCATGAACTCCAGACTGTTGGATTCAGGTGGAGGTGGAGATTTGTCTCTCATCTCATAGCTGGGCAATGGGGCCACTGTCTTTCTCAGGATCTCCTCCATGCCGTTGTGCACTGCGATGATGGAAGTACATGGATACATGTTTCTGAACTCCCACACCCTAAGTCCAGGGACCGTTTTTAACACTGCTCTGTGTCGATAAGACTTTAGCAAAGAGCGCGCGGCTGTACATAAGTGGAAAGGTGTCATTGCGCGCCTGACAAAATACGCACCAAAATAAACACATCCACTTCCGGGGTGTCTTAAAGGAACCGCGCACAGTTGTATGTCAAACGCATGACAGCACAGAACACAGGTGTTCCTACATACTCAAAAATATGGAGTAAGCTTTTAAAACTATATTATAAAAATTAATACAGTAATATATTGGGATTTTTAAAAGGTAGGGAAGGGTAGATGCCTTAGTAAAAGTATTTTAGTAAAAGAAAAAAGGATACAAAATATTTATGTATGTATGTATAAACAAACAAACAAATTAATTAATCATATGCAATCTGTCAATGTATGCAATATATGTAAATATATCATACAACTGCATGTATTATACAACTAGACAGTGGCGCAAAAACGGGGTATGCAGTATATGCAGTGCATAGGGGCGCCACACATAGGGGGGCGCCATTTTGCCAAAATCATTCTGTGAAAATCTTCTTTAATAAAACGTTATAAATAATCAAAAGCTTAGTTATTAAAAATAATTAATGCAACATTTTTATTTAACGATTTTTAGCATTTTAATTAGTTCAAAAAAATGTATTTATTAAAAAAGTATTAAGACGCGGAACGGCCGTATCTCTTTGCGACAACAACAAACGGGAGACTTTTCAGACGCGCACTTCAGCTTGCCCTCAGCGCGGTACATGTGCCAAATGAGCTTCAGTAGAACAACAGGGAACTGCGGTCTGATGAGATAGCCTATTGTTATATGTCAGTAAAACAAACTTTCCTGTCCTGTTAGCTGTTTTACTGTGCTCACGGCGCACGCTCTTCAACTGTAGGCGAATATGAGGCACGCTCACTTCATAAATAAACCGCACTAGAAACTGCGAGCATTTTCAGTTCAGTTAAGTCACGAAATTACCAAAATGGCGATTAAAACAACATGCATGTATGTGCATTTACATTTAAGAACGTCTCTCAAATGCATGCAGCCTACTGAAATATTCTTCAATTCGAGATCACTATAGGGCGCAAGATGATATGCTATGTAATTTGTTTAATTTATAATTTAATGCACAAGTAGGCCAAATGTGAGCACAGTGCAGTTAAATGTACTAGAAAATATGCGCTAATTTTTCGTTAATTTGTAAAGTTAAACCATATTTAAATGCATGAAAAAAACTCATCTTACATTCTTACATTTTCCTTTGTACATAGCTCGATTTAGGTATGACAAAAGTGCTGCAATTAATTCATTTTGACAACTAATAGAATGTTAAACACTGACTGATAACTTTTTCAGAGTTCACTGATTATATAAAATTCAGTGAAGGTTGACTATAGTTATCTGGGGGGGCGCATGTTTGTGAATGGGCATTTGATTTACATTTGAGAGAAACGAAGATTGTAAACAAGGATACAAACTATACATTTTTCACTGAAAATTGCCGTTGTAAATTCAAAATGGGCCATCTGTGTAATTCAAGTAGATTCAATGAGTTGAAAACTATTGCTACTTCATTCTTCAATACAAAACAATGCTGAATTTTGACAAAAAATAGATTTTTAAATGTTATAATATTGATTGTATAATGTCTAAATATATATATATATATATATATATATATATATATATATATATATATATTTTTAACATGTGAAAAGAACTATATTACAGAGTGGAAAAGATAAAGGAGACAATAAATGACCCTCTGCTGACATTTAGAGGTCATAGTGGGAATCATGACATTCATTTTAATAGTATTTGTTTTTCTACCAGGTGAAAGAAATCTTCCACTTAGCATGGCAAATTTCCATGAACGATCTCTTTAATTGCCTTAAAAAATCATGGGTATCGAACACAGTCATCAGAGACCATAACAAATAATATTTTAAGGCATAACTATATTATAATAATTAATTATATCATTAAATATTATTTTAATGTTATTGTCAGAGGAAATCCCTCTTGTCTTCCTATTTAATGTTAGTCAAATCGCTGTTGTTTCAGTGGCAGCAGTGTTAGCAAATCAGACAACAGAGACGGCTCTCTGCCAAAATTAACCAATGGCGCGGGCTTGAGGCGGGAATACCTTTTTGTCCGACCAATGGGAGTATTTGGGGAAACCTGTTTGGAAAGCAATTTTTATCAGTTCCATTTGGTGTCGCTAGTGGTCTAACGCTTTCAGCAGCTTTTACGCTGTAGAGTCAAAGACATTTCAAACGCACGTGCAATTTTAATACACTTTTTAAATTAATATTTGTTGAACCAGAAGATAATTTTACAATCACCCTGGAAATATAGCATAAGCTAGTCTATAAATTAGCAACGACAACAAAACCTCAAATCAGTGGCTCGTCTGTAACCACGCGGATTGATAACAACCGTACAATATACGGATTTGCAGGTATTACATTAATGTTTATTGATTTTATTCACATTTTAGTTGAAATATTCCTGTTTTAGCATTTCTAAATTAATTAGTGAATTTATTTAGTAAAGTTTATGATCGTATTAAGACGCCTGATTTGAAGGGCTGCTTTCAGTGAAATATGAATGTAATGAATTCATTTGAATTGTTGGCATCATCTTTTAGGGATGGCAGAAGACTCTAACTCTGTGAAGGCCGTGGAAAAGGAGTTAAACGATAATCCAGGCTCAAGTGGAGATGTGCTTGTGTGAGTACAGCTGTTAGTGAAATTACAACACACCACTAGGCCCTTTATGCATCTCAAATAAATGTTGCACTTGCACTGCATGTCCAATCACATCACATCCTCAAACACTTGTCCAAATGTACTGTTGGTAAAAGAATCCCTTGATCTTGACTGGCTTCCATCCAGTAATTGTGCTTTGCTGGCACACACTATTCAAACTCACACATCACCCCTAATGCTTCTGTTCTGTGAATTCTGTATGCGAGTATACAAGTGAGCTAAATATTTGTTATTCAACTGAGAATAAGCACGATTTAATAGCCACACAAACAACAGCTGCACATTATTATACACAGCGCTGCACTTTGCAGCAGGAAATGCCTTTCGCGTTACTGTGAAAGATGTAGACAAATTGAGCCTCCCAAACAAATGATGTGCATCAGAAATCATAAATCTAACCAAGTGTGAAGTGTGTGCCAAAGAGCTTGCATTCATTATTCAGTGAGTTGTACTCCATCTCCTTTATGAATACATTATTTTACTTTGATATCTAATGCATTATATGGGCACGCTAACGCCGGGGACATCCATCCGTCTCTGGCGTTTGTAATTAATCTGATGAAAGACTTAGACACCTGTAAGTGTTGCTGACAGCAGCCTGTTGTGACGAGGCCTACTGGCAGGCTGTCACACACTCCATTGAAGGGAGAAGTTTATTTGTAAAGCGCAAATATGGATTCGGAACTCTTCAGCACTAATGGCCTTTTTATGTCCCCCCTCTCATCTCATCTATTCCCACCCCTCCTTCTTTTCTCATATACGTTTGTCTTTTGTCTCATATTCCTCTCATCATCTTTACCTTTTCCTTTTTGTTCCTCCGCAGGGTAAAGCCCAAGAAAAAAAAAGCAAAGGCCAAAGGCAAGGCGAAGCCTCAGCACGAAGGGAAGGAGAAAACACACAGGAAGGTAGTTTTTCAATGTCACCATTCATTTTCTTTCGTCATGCCCCTGGGATTCTCTCTTCAAGTCCGGCTCAATTAAAAGGCCCTGTTAGCTTTGCTGTAAAGGAATATTTATGCAGACATATCATTCAGAACCTGTTTCGTACTGTAGGTTACAGAGACCCAAATATAACAAGAACCGACTGCTACACAGAGCATAACCTAAAAGCATTTAGTCAGCGAGCAATCAAGTCTGTGATGTCAGATTCATAGGTTGCGAAAACCTAGATGTAACCAGAATAGACTGTTACGCAGAGCAAAGCAAACAGTGCAATCTTCCCCCTTCAGGGCGGTTGCACGAAACCGCTCATTATCTGCGAACGGTAGTAATAGTATTTTGCCATTATGCAAGTCTGTTCTTTAATGCAACCTACTTCCAGCCATGCTGATATTTTTGTAGAGGAATATGATTCTCCTTGACAGCTCCGGGCTCCGGTTTGGCCTCAAGCGATCTGGATGGCTTTCCTTGATAGCAGGTTGTAAGCCATTGATTAGACTGGGCTTCCCTGTGGTGCGTCAAACCCTCAAATAGCCCTACTTTCCCCCTGCACCTTTACATTAGCATAATGCGGCTTCTTCATCTCGTTGATATTTCTATGTATTGCCTCTTCTTTATTTATTACCTGCCACCTTAATACAGTGTTTTACTGGTACTTGCACAGTGGAACAAGATGGAATTATAAAGGAACGTCCTTGTCAAGTCAGTAAGTCAGTATGTAGGTTGCTTGGAACTTATTTTTGATTTTTAGCATTTGATATATGTATAGATTTTTTTGTTTTTTAAAGAAATTATTACTTTTATTTGGTGCAAGGAGAGATCGATTGAATTGATCAACAGTGTCTATAAAACACATGTACAGTGTTACAATTTCAAATAAATGCTGTTCTTTTGTACTACTTATCAAATAATTCTGAAAGAAACATGCATGCATAATAAACATACATTTTAATTTAATTATACATTTCATTCAATTTTTAATATAATTATAATGTTTGGGAAAGCAATACATAAGTTTCCATCACATAGTTGTCATGTTTTTTTATCTTTCAGATGAAAACGCCTAAAGAAGAGAGCATGGACTTTGAAGACAGCGGTGACAGAAGGTACAGTGAGATCGCTGTCACATGTGATGGTATTTTTAGTAGCCAGTATTGCACATGCAGTTTCACAGATTCAGGCTTTTGATTTAGAGAAACAGCATCAGCAGCCAGCAGCTGCACTTGGAAATGAGTTTTAATCCATTTAGGATTCAAATATGCAATCATACTTTTTTTTTCTCTGGCCTTTGGAATTGACGAAAATTAATTCTGATGATTTGAATGTGCGCAGTTCTGGACAATATCCATTCCGATTGTCTCGCCACATTGGCTGTCTTTCAGAAAATTAATTTATTTATTGGAAAGA